ACTTTATGCATAAACCGATCTCATTAATTTTCGTGAATTTATTAGATTATATCATCAAAGGAAGGAGCCTATACCTCATATATGTAGTATATGATTTTTTTTTTTAAATAGAAAAATAAAAGTCAATAATACTTTCGACGTAACACAAGGCTCATTGTCAGCTCCAAGATTTTAGTACTTTCGGTGAAAAAAAAATGGATAATGTTTTCCATCATTTTAATTTCATTTGATATTGCAATAATAAAATATTGATTTAACGATTGGCAAAAACTTTTAAGCATCAGTAAGGAGCATTTAGCTAATGAAGACTATATTACCCTTATCAAAAGTCTCAGTGTTAATTTATTGAACTTAATTGCCGTTAATAGATCTCTTGTGCACAAGCAATACGGACAGAGGAGTTGATTTTTCAGAGGCAATTTCTTATAAAAATCACGATCAGCGTGGACAAAAAGTCTGCAATTTATTCCCTTACATATATTTCGCCCAGTTCGTATTACGCGATGTCAAATGTCCCATGGCAACTTTCTTCTTCACTGTCAGTATGCAGGTTTGCTCATTTTGCCCAAATTTTCGTTTTTGCAGGTTCGATTTCATTTTCGTTAACGATAGAGTTTATTTTTACTTGTTTTTTAATTTATCTGTACATAAGTGTGTATAATAAAATTTTGAATTGTTTTTAATGCTTTTGTTTCACGTTTTTCAACTTCAACAATTTTTCGAACTGATATCCAGAATTACTTTACATTAAAACCCCCAGTTACTGAAAACGGAGAGAAGCTCTGCTCTATCTAATTTCACTAGGCACCATTCACTCTAATTTGCCTCTAATATTCTTATAGCTATATTCCCAGTTATAGAAAGATTGATTGTCAAAGCTTAAAGAGCTTTCCTCAATTTCAGCAATTAGAAATTTCTCGTCAAATGCACATTCCTATTTTTCACCTATCAGAACGGGTTTAAAGTGCATGAATATGCTAAGCAGCATTTTTGAAAAATTTAAGAATTATCAGCACAACATAAGCACTGCGATTTTTAGACACCAGATTAAACTACAAAAGTATTTTTGTTTTTCAAAGTGCTTAAAAAAACGATGTAACTTTTCAACTTTCAAACTTATATTTAGAAAATGATGAAATTGCCTTATGAAATAATTCAGCTCTGAACTTTTCCAACTTCTTTAAGAAAAAATCATCGCAACCTTCCGAATTTTTGAAATTGTCTTTTAAGTTTATTCAGAGTACCATCACACATCGATCTGTGCAACATTTCAAACGAAAATGGTTTTATTTATTTGAATCTGATTTTTCATCATTCAAAATGTGGGATGAAAAACAATTTTGGTATAATGCAATTTTTTGGATGCTATCGTTAAATTTTCCATACGATACTTGATCGCGTCGAAACTGTTCTTCCTCTGTGCTTTCTGCCATAATTTACGCTAACTGGGGTAAATATTAAACCCTTTTTGTTAAAAAAAGAGCCACATTTTACGAGCTTGTTGCCCATCAAAAAGAAAGTCAAGACCGCAATCATTCAAAAATGTAGAGGCAAAGTTTTAAGTTTACCTCCATATTCAACCTACAAAATCTAAAAATCTTAATCAGTAGAGATTGTTGTACAGACGTAATGAATGATACTACCACCCGCTAGACTTCGATTCTGTAGAGACTTGATAAGTACATCCTGAATGGCGTCCGGGCTTGAAATCAGATGACAATTGGACGTATTTCTGTCAAACGGAGCTATGTGCATTACGGCGTGAGCCCTGTTATGCATATATTCTTATGGGTTTCAGGGCTCATGTCTTAATGCACATATATCATTAGGCGTCGTTCTGTTTTTGAAACACAAAATCATGATAAAAATGGACCGTATTCTTAAAAAAGGAACTATCAACTCTAGCTCATTTATGGAAGCGTCTATCTACATAGGAATACTAATGGCACTCACGTTGTTTCTAAAATAAGCCAGAAACAGTAAATTCTCATTGAACAGCGTGACTACTATATAAATCTAGTTTTTAGGAGAGATAGATCTAAGGAATATCAATATCGGAACTGGCAACGAAAATTTCCAATTGATTAGAAGAGAAAAGGAACTCCTCTATTAACTTTAAAACATTTTAAATTGTGAAATCGGATTTTTGCAGGATATCGTCGCTCCTCTGACGTATGGGCGTATCTTAATTTACATATAAATCCATGCTTTCTAGAGCTCATGCGAAAATCGAGGTACGCCCTTACGTCAGGGGAGCGACGATATCATTGCCGAGCAAGCGTTTTGCTGAGTGGATATTGTTTTCTGCGATAAATTTTGCATTTGAGACATGTTCATCAATTTCAGGAATTTACATGGACGTATTCAAATCAAAATGAACTATATCCATTCGGATATAAGCCTTGAGCCTCATAAGAGTGCATGCATGTCAGGATTCATGTCACAGTGGATATAGTTCTTTTTTATTTAAATACGTCCAAACGTTGTCTACTGGTTTGGAGAGACGCAAGTACAAATTATCAATAATATCGAGAAATCATCAGAAATAATGACGATAACCCTTTCATTCTCTATTTCTTCAACGTCTGATTTGAAGGGAATTTGTGTGAGTTTAAAAGGGAAAATCGACACTGAAAGTTACGTCGATATTGTTATTTTAATTTTCACGAAGGCTGCTCTCATGAAAAAATGTTGTCCCTCTTAATTATTACACTCGCAGATTTGAACAAATTGGGAATTGCTTTTATTATCTGCTAGGTAGTCAATCAGAGCAGTCCTGTAAGCATTACAAGCAAGTTTAAACGGATTATTATTGATGAGCTCGTAAAATTCTATATTAACATGTAAAGTTTTACACGCTGCCATTTCAATTAAGTTCCACATCAAGGCCGGATTTACCTACTTGCCGCCCATGAGCCGCTTTTATCTTGCCGCCCCCTCCTCATTCGTTTTGAAACATCAATAAAAACCATCAAGTGAACGTGCCAGCGGGAGAGGGGTGCATAAGACGCGTTTACTCGTGTTGGACACATTTTTGGGGGATTCTCTGTCAACACTACTAGCAAAAGTTCACGGAACTTTGCGTGAAATTTAAGTTTCGTAAACCTACCTCTTTGTGGACAAGGCCTTCCATTCATAAGAAATGAACGAAAAAATTATGAAAGAACAAACATAAATGTGGTTTAATGATTTTAACTTCCGCCGCACCGCGCCGCACAGACCGCGTCGTGTTTGGCGCAATGCGTGGAGTATTCCGACAGTCTTGTAGGTGCTATGATTTTCGCGCCGACCGCTGCTGAACGCACTGTGTTTGACGCAATGCGTGAAGTATTCATGCATTCTTGCAGGCGCTATCCGTTTCACGCTGACCGCAGTGACCGCAGTGACCGCAGTGTGTTTGATGCAATGCGTGAAGTATTCGTGCAGTCTTGTGGGCGCTAATATGTGTTACATGCCGATCGATCGCCGCGCCGAGAGCTTCTCCTTTTCATCTCAAGTCCTCGTCATCATTTCTCTCCAAGTCCCGGCCAAATTGCGTGTTTGGTTTCTCTCTTAACTCGACTAGTTAAAGGTGCTGTCACTTGTATCAATGAAAGACGACAAAATTAGAAATTACTATACTCTCAGGAAATGAGAGATTTTGTCGCCTTTTTTCGTAGGTAGTTTTTTTTTCTAAATCTGATTTTTTTTTTATATATGTACCTACATTTAAAAAAATTGCAAAGTTTGCCACCCCCTAGATTTGCCGCCATGGGCCGCGGCCCATGTGGCCAACTGGCCACCCCCTTAATCCGGTCCTGTTCCACATACTTGTCATCTTTTTAACCCACAAAAAGTTTCTGTCCAAGGGAGTATGAAGATGTATTCCTAACTCAGTTTAGGCATTTACTTGATGATTCTTGCAGATTCTTGCAGTTACATATATTATGAATGAAACTGAATTTTTGAATCTTAAGCACCGGTGCAATGGCACAGTTTCTAATCGTAACTGAGTGGATGCAGGTAAGAACCTTTTCGTTTGATGTTAGGAGCAGATCTGAAATATTGTAAAATATAGTCTGGAATATTTCACTCTGCTGTTAAAGAACAAAATGTTGAACTTTTCATACACACTTGGCAAGGCGTTGCGCTAGTAATTTTCCTTTGGAATATCTTTAAGAGGAGCTGGTTTTGTTTTTCTGAACGTGATGTATAGGAAATCAAGAAAAATCTCTGTTATTTCTATGTTTACGTCAAGGCCTTTTCGGTTTCATTGATAATTAACTGTGATTAATGAAAAATCTGAAAAAATAAAATAATATCCGAATAAAATAGGTTATTTTTCCTAACATCACTGGAAAAAAAACACATTGGATCTAGAGTCCAGACTCTTGACAACATTGACAAGAAAAATTACTCTTGATTCAATCGGATTTAAGCTTAAATCAAAAGGAAATCCGCTCAAATAATTAAGAGGCTTGGTTCTTGATTTAAGCTACCTAGATTCTGATTGAATCGAGAGTACTTTTTCTTGTCGATGTTTTTAAGAGTCTGGACTCTAGATCCAATGTGCTCTTTTTCCAGTGAGAGTAATAAAACTCTCCACCTTCCTTAGTTGGTAGAGATCTTCTTCGTTGCTATCACACCTTACTTCGATGTCACTCCCATGAATATTTTCGCCAATTCTATATTGCGAAAAATCCGTTGGAAAATTTTTCATTGCTGATGTCCGAACAATGCCCCCTTTCCCCTCTTCCCTGAAGTTCGTCAAGGAAAGAGCTCTGTTGATTTTCTTGTCCGAGTGAATTCGAAGCCAGCTCTCAGGTGAACACATTTTTTGCTGAGCAAATATTTAACTTTCACAAGCAGCGAACAATCGGTATCTCACATCGCAATTCTGGCTATTGCGACATTTTCGAAACATCAGGAAGGATTTCACAAACCGCGGCCAGGTTTTTTTCCGCGGCGTGTTTTGATTTCCCGGCGGTGTTTTCGGAACCCGAGTCGGCTGCCCCAAAAGCACCGAGCGAGGCGAGTCTACTTTTCGCCGGTGCGAAAAACCCGTCGGCACTTTTCTGCAGACCCCTGAGTCGGTCGCCCATTCTTTGATTCGCAGTTCTCGCACGCGCCGGCCCCAAGATGAAACAAGTGAGTTCCGTACTTCTCCTCACCGTCTTGGTGCAACTCGCCGCCTCGAAAATCAGCAACGCCGTCCCATCCTCCATCCCTAGGGGTTACCACGGCAACCTGAAGGTGCACCAGGCCCGCCCTGTCCGCCAGCTGCAGTACAAGACCATCGAAGAACTGCAACAAGAATCAGCCACCCCGTACTCCGGCGACTACTACGGACAGCCCGCCCCTGAGAACTACCGTGAAGCATCCCCTCGTACATGCGGACACTTCCACAAGAAGGAATACCACGTCGAGCCTGTCCATGTCCAGCCCGTCTACGTTCAACCTCAGGTCCATTACCAGGAGGTCTCCGTCCCTGTCCAACACTACCAGCAAATCGCCGTCCCTGAAACCAAATACGAGCAGGTCACAGTGCCCCACACCTCTTACGAGCATATCACTGTCCCGCACACTGAGTACCACACCGTGAATGTCCCACAGACAGAGTACCAACAAATTTCCGTCCCGGTACAGTCCTACCAATCGTACCAATCCTACAAGCCGGTCTACACTTCCTACAAGAAGCCATGCTACAAGTCTGCCGATGAAGACACCACCAACCCTGAAGTCTCCGAATTCGCTGACCCTGCTCTTAGAGACACCGCCCTGTACCAGGCCATCGGCAAGTCTTTGGGATCCGGCTATGACATGAACGCTCCCGCTCCGGCCATGATCGCCCCTGAAATCCCTGAATACGGCCGACAAGCCCAGTACCTGAACGCTCCCCTCCCTGAGATGAGAGCCGCCTATGCCCCGGAGATGAAATCCGCCTATGCCCCAGAGATGAAGGCCGCCTACGCCCCTGAGATGAAGGCCGCCTACGCCCCTGAGATGAAGGCCGCCTACGCCCCTGAAATGAAGGCCGCCATCGCCCCTGAAATGAGCCGTGCTGTCTACGCTGACCAGAGAGCTGTCATCGCCCCTGAACAGCGCAACGCTTACCTCGGTGAGTCAAGATCCGCCCAGATGTACCAGGACATGAACCAGAGAGCCGCCTACGCCCCGGAGATGAGCCGTGCCGCCTACGCCCCGGAGATGAGCCGTGCCGCCTACGCCCCTGAAATGAGCCGTGCCGCCTACGCCGACCAGAGAGCCGCCATCGCCCCTGAGTGGAGCCGCCAAGCCATGTACCAGCCCGCTTACGCTGGTATGTACCAGGGACCCGCCGCCCCCCAGTACGGTAGCGGATTCTACCCCCAACCCTGGGGACGCAACGCTGAGTACCAGGCCGCTGAGAAATCTGCCACCCTTGAGAAAGCTGCTGCCATCCCTGAAGGAAAGCCCGCCCCCGCAGCTCCTCAACCCGCCAACACTGAATCCAACCCTGCCAAAGGTAAAACTGAGACCCAATCAGTTCACCATTAATTTTTCTCCATCGTGAAATCGTTAGGATCTTTAACCTCCAATTCAATGAAATCCAAAAGTATTTATTTTTAACGAAAACTCAGTTAAAATTGCCAGATTATTGATGTTTCGAGTGAGCTTTTTTTGTAGTAGCCATAACAAACAATAGTGGTATTCTTACCATTAAGCGATAGTTTTACCACCGTAGAAGTAAAATTACCGACGCAGGGGTAAAATTATCCTTGGGAAATGCATGTGCTGAATGAATGAATGAATGTGTGTGTTGTGTTGAATGAAAGTTATTGTTTTTTGCTACTAATAACTAAGGTATCACACGAAACACTGATAATTTGATAATTTTAATGATAGTATTCGAAAGTAAGTGAAAATTCGAGTGTAAATATTAGTCGAGCTTCAGTTTTGGGTTGTAGAGTGTGCAAGGTGTTAGCCTTCAAATGTAATGAAACATTCGTGCATCTTGCTTTTACCATCGATATATTTTTCTTACATTTTCTTGGGGAAAGTGCAATATGAAAATCTCGTAACTCGTGAAAGAATATGAAAGTAGTTCGATTTATTTTTTTCTGTTTTATTTCACGGTGTTAGATGTTCTCCTCTTAATTTCTTATTCCTTATCATTCCGTCCATTAAATATTCCCAACGATGTTCCAAAAAGACCGAATTATTCTTATTAATATAAACTGGAACGCATTCAACCGATCGTTGAGGTTTTTTTACAATGCTTCGTAAAAGGGTGTTTTTTTAACGTATAATTGTTATTATTAGTTTTCTTCTGTTACTGTGTTATTAAATGTGTATATAATTTTGCAATTTTTCGTTATCATTTTCAAGTGTCCCATGTAATTTTACCTTTTTTCTTTTAACCGAACTGAAACTAATATCTTTGCTTTTGTGGTTAAAAAAGAATCGGTACATTTTCTTCAAGGTGATTCGATGGACACCATATTTTGTGTCAGAACGGCATGCGATATATCGCATCAATTGGTTCTGTTTTGTCAGCTACTCGTTATTTTTCTCCAATTTTGAGATCGCAATTCTGTTATCAGGAGACTAAAGCATTCACTTACCAATTTTAACAAAGAAATTCAACGTAATAAAGGCGTGGTTTTTTCAGAGAGAAAATATCGCATTCGAGTACAGTTTCGATATCAGTATCGAATGCGATGTTTTCTCTCTGAAAAACCACGCCTTTAATACGTTGAATTTCTTTCTTAAAATTGGTAAGTGCTTTAGTCTCCTGACAACAGAATTGCGATCTCAAAATTGGAGACAAATGACGAGTAGCTGAAAAAATGGAACCAATTGATGCGATATATCGCATGTCGGTCTGGCACAAAATATGGCGTCCATCGTATCACCTTACGATGAATTCTCGATCAGCTATTTTTCAATTCAATATTTAGACTCAAGAGAAAATTAATTATTAATTACAACGAAGTTAAAATTTATCAAAGTAGGTATATCAAATTCTTTCACAAAATGCAACTTTAATTTGAACAGTAGAAGCACTCCAATTCCTGTGTATGCCACATTTCAGTTTTGTTGAAAAGAAAGTTATAGTTTGATTCTTTCCACCATTCTTAAATCCAAAATTTGTCATCCTGACATTTGCTCTAAAACTAAAAGCTACAAACTAAACCGTCAATTTTTTGCCAAAGGGTAATTTTTTTTACTTTTTTAATGTTGCATTTCTAGTCAGATACAATTTTGGTTCCCTGAAGAAATATTTTCTCTGCTGCGATTAATAAATTAACTATCTCGATTATTCACTTCATTCATTCATAAATTGAAATCATGATTCTCAGTCGCTGTTCATACCACCAGCCTGCTGAAATCATCTCAATCAATTAGATCATGCATCTTATTCCCACGAAAGCACTAGCAATTTCAAATTTTTCAAGTTTCATATAAGACACATATAACGTTTTCGACAAATGTCATCTACAAACTGAGAGATACACTACAATTTTTATATATAAATATTCTTGTATCTTACGGAAGAGTGAATTAAAATGTCTTTACTTAACAGATAGCTGAGGCTCAATTAAGACATTTCTAACTTTCTTAAGTAAAAACCAAAGAACGTCCTCTCAATATAAATGGCCAGTCTTTTATAAGTCTCTTCGTAATTTTTCATAAAAAGTTCTTGATTTTAGAAAATATTTATATTTCTCGATCGTAAATCCAAAGCTTTTTTCCCTTCGATGGATAATAAATCATGAATAAGTTCAATTTTTATATTTACGTAGTTTGATCGAAAACAGAATTATTGTCTTCATTGGGAGGTTGACATGAAATTGCTCAAATTTTTTATACATTTCTTCACCGAAAAAAGAGTAAGTTCAATACAGAAGAAAATGCATTTTTTTAGGATTTCTAAGTTTTATTCAGCTTCGAGTAAATGATAAAATTACATCCTTAGAATAATTGACTTTTGTTACATCTAAAAATTGTATGACTTTTAAATGCCTATGCAACTGAAGCAGCTAGAATTACCGTGCCAAGGAAGAACGCCATATGAGCCTTCAGACATTGCCGAATTTCCTTTGAAAAATCGCAAATTATCTGGAAAATTTGTACACACGTCTCCTCCAATGTCTCAAAAAATTCGGTTCATACCAAAATTTCAGAAAATTTGAAGGAAAAAATTCATGACTTGCTTCAAAAATAAATATATTCTGAGAGGCAATATGACAGCATTCAAATGCTCATACATCGTTTGACCTTAGCATGGTAGAGTAGATATCGCTATTGAATCGATACAAGTCTAAACATATATTAAAGAGGAGTTCTCATTTTTCTACACATCGATGGCTGAAGTTAAAAAATGCGTATCTTTCATACAACTTTAAAAAATCTTCAATAATGATCCAATCTTTTACAAAGAATAATCAAAATATCTCCTTGAAATGTCGTGCTAATGTGGTTAAATGAATGAGAACAATTTACAGACAATTACAGGAAAAACTTTGTTAATTTTCCTTTAAAAAATGAAAACATGAGTGAAGCCTTACAATGTTGCAATTTCTTAATATTGTGTGTCACCTGAAACGGTCTCAAAATTTCCAGAAACACACCCAGAGCCACGGAGAAGTTCACAATTTCCAAGTTTAGCCGTGAGCAAAGGATAATAAATAACTTAAACTGTCAACGATGTTTGTCGTGGCGTGATTCTTGTGACTTGGGCATATAAGAGTTTGTTGGTCAGTACTGAGGTAGTAATTTTGAGGAGGATTAGTTACTTACTCAGTCTGAATAAAAATACAAATCACTAACATAGGTAGTTGCAAAGAGATCCGCACTGTCACATGCAGCAGTAATCTTGCAGAATACAATGTATGTAAATCTAGGGGCTATGGTCCCTAGGGTGTACCTTATTTTTGAGTTTTGCGAAAATCAAGTTGGTCAACCCCTAAAAAGTTTCTATGTAGTCTCTAAATGAGCCCCCTAAAAGGAAAAAATGTTAAAAACATTTTAACCCGTGCCTCAAAGGGCCTAAAGGGCCCAAATCCAAAACTCGAAAATTTTGGCAAACGGCATATCAATTCTGAAGGAAAATCGCAAGTTACAGCCCTTTGATCAGAAATTTTATTCGTTTTGGCGTATCTTGAAGCGTAAGGTCACAAACGGCCCAAGGACGACGTGAGGCTGTGAGCCGCCAAAACGGATGAAATCTCTACCATAAGGACCGTAACTTGCAATTTTCCTTCAGAATTAATATGTCGCTTGCCAAAATTTTCGAATTTTGGATTTAGACCCTTTATAGGCATTTTGAGGCACGGGTTAAAATGTTTTTAACATTTTTTTCATTTTAGGGGGCTCATTTAGAGACTACATAGAAACTTTTTAGGGGTTGACCAACTTGATTATCGCAAAACTCAAAAATAAGGTACACCCTAACGCTTCCTGACCGCTGCGAGGTCCAACCCCCGGGGGCGCCTCGCGCCTCAGGTGTTATGAATTACGCATTTCTCTTATGATTTTACATTATGGAGTATGATATGTAGTGACTTTCAAAGTATGTTTTACCTAATTTTTGACGGTATGAGAAACACTATAGGGTAGAAAAGACTTCTCCCCTTTGCTTGAAGTAGCGGGAGCGTAGAAATTCAAAATATAGTAAGCGCCATTGGTTTTTTTAAGATTGTAGAGGGTGGCCTTATACGTAAAAGGACCATAATACCTTACCAAAAGCCAAAGTGCGAAACCAAGTATCTCCATTGTGGTTTTTCAAAATTCCAGTTACTATTTTATTTTCTCCAGAGAGAGATAAGCCAACTTCATGGTTGGAAAAATTTGAAGAAAATTCTGCTAAGAGTATAGGGAAATCGTGGAAGTTTTCAAGAATCTATGCAGACTTGTTTTCTAAAGCGATAATAATGTATCACAGGAAGTCTCCAACGTCATAAACGGAGATACGTGGTTTTGTACTTTGGATATCGATGCATTTCTCAGCAGTGGCGTGGCGTGAATTGCGATATATATCGATTGTTATGCCATTTAAACCTATGGTAAAGAATCGATTATTAAAATGTTCGCTGCGAACACCCTGCTTATCGATCATTTTCCATAGGTTTAAATGGTATAACAATCGATATATCGCAAAGCACGCCACGCCACTGTTTCTCAGTGAAAATATTTTCCTAATTTAAGTCTAATTTTTGTGACAGAAATTATGCCTGATCTCCGGCCATTTTAGGTGACAATTCCTCAGACTACTTTGACAGTGAGGCAAAACACGGTGCATATAGGTTTTCAAAGTCAACAAATACGTATCTCTTATGAACGCTCAGAAATCTCCGAACATATTTCATTTTTTAAAGGAAAACAGAAGTTCCCTTATTACTTTTTCATCCGGAAAAAAACATGGATAATTTCAAGAGATGCCGTCAAATAGAGCCCCTCTGACAGAATAATACTATTACTGAAGGTTTGCAATGGTTTCTATCAGAAATGTACATTTTTCGACTTTAGCCATCAAGGTGTGACCATCTATGAAGAAAAGGACCTTTGTCTACGGAGGTGCTGTATTTTTTGGCATGGCAATTTTTTTAATTGGGTTGAAAATCCGATTTTAAGATTTCAGAAAAAAAATCCGCACTAGTCCAAAAAATTAGTTGCGAGAGGTTAATTTTCTTGTGCCATTACAGGCTATTTGATCAAACAGATCTACCTGAAACCATGACAAATCAAAACTTCACATTTCTTTTTCTCATAATCAATTTTTTGAGCTGCAAACTATAATCCTTCTAAATTCGTCACCTTTGGTCAAAGTATTACGAATGTCATTTGCGCCCAGGCACTACGTAGCCAGACCTCTCTAAATTGTTCAATTGTTCACGGAAAATGTATCAACAAAATTAATTGCAAATTTCACGTCACATTTCTTTTGCCATCAAAATGAATCTTTGAAATTTTCATGAAAGTATGTGCAAAAGTCGTCAAGGAAAATTGAAACAACAATGACACGTACTGCAAAATTGCACCTAGGGGTAAATGACACTTAAGATATTTGGGCCAGAAGTTGACGGATTAACGTGGTTCAACATTTCTTGGAATTTTTGTCCCAAAATGTTCTTAGAACATTCTCCTGATTAAGTCCGGTATATTTATAATTCAAACTGAGTTTTTGTAGACTGTGAGATCCATTTTTCAGTAGGTAGACTGTTTTCTTTTTACATAATTATCGAAGTCAGGTTTTTTGCCTAGGCTTTCACCCACCCCTCCTCCCCAAAATGGAGGAAATAAAGGTAAACTGTAACGTACGTGTCTCTATCGTCCACAGAACGGCAGGGTAGACTTTTTTAGTA